CACACACACACACACACACACACACACACACACACACACACACAGAGAGAGAGAGAGAGAGAGAGAGATAAATAACAATGTATTACTTGGATGAACAAACAATATTTACTGTATGACAGCAATTTTCTATAACAACATCCATCACTGGCCTTTGAAAAAAATACAAGATGTCTTAAACGTTTTCTTATAAAGTATCATTTTCGAGCTTGTAATGATAACAGTTTAACTATGGGTGTCTCGATACCAGTTTTTCTCAAACCGAGTACGAGTACTTTAGTTTGGATACTCGCCAATGCAGAGTCAGTTAGAACTTTAACATTACACAGTGACTTTAAAAACACATTTATTATGTTAATAAAACAAGGTGGCTCTTCTTCCTTATAGACTTCCAGCCCCTTTGACTGGATCAGATCAAATCAAGTTAAATACTGCTGAAAAATGTTACAGTAAATAAAAATAACAAGTATGATTGTCGGGTAATGTGTATGAGTAAGAGTAAAAATACTGGTATCGGTAAAGGACACTACAACTGTTTCCTGTACTTTTTAAATTTTATCGATTTCTTTATTTATACGCGTTCCTTCTTTATCTTAATAAACATTATGTATGTTTTATGTTGATACTGATCACTCATTGGATTTAAAAAAAACATTAAACAGCTCAACTCATCAAACCTCAGGAACAGTTTTTAAATTAACACACAGAAGGCGTRTCTCAGTTTCTCAGTGTGTCACTGTGACACCTGAAGGTCCAAACCTCGACCTGCTGATTTGACTGATTCAAATCTATTCAATTAAATTCAATTAAAGCTAAATTACATTTACAGCCCTATCAGACTGTTATCTCACCGCTTTCCATAGTGAGATAACGGTGCTGCAGTGACAACCTTACTACAGTGTGGGCTGCCTGTCGCTCCAGGCGTAATGTATTTACATACTCTGTCTCGGCCTCCACCATATTGAAGACGATCTGGTTCCTCTTCCTCATGCTCTCTGCGTGAGGAGAACAAATGTAGTCCTGAACGATGATTTTCCACTTCCTGCGACAGAGCCAGCCTCGCATGAAACTCTGCACCTGTGGATGAGAAGGTAATGAGTAACACACACGCATATACATTTTTTTCTGTTTAAAGAAAAATACTGAATATGAAAAACCGTTTTTACCTTTTTAATCTTTTTGATGTCGGGGTCATCGTTCGTATGGTAGACATGATAAGGCCTCATCCGCTCCTTAGTTTTATTCAAAGCTACAATCTAAGAAGAGAAAAGATTTTGAAGTTCACAATAAAGCGTCTTATCAGACACTCGTTTCATAAAATCCGGAAACGACACTCATGATTTCTAGTTTCATGTCCTTATGTTGAAAATATGCTGCTCATGCAGAGTGCGATCAGTGAATTGTTGGTGTATTTTTATCAGATCCTAATTAAACCTGGTGTCTTCATTCAGACAGAACCAGGCAGAGAAACAGGGAGAAGCGCTGCAGCTCTTTGTGACTAACAGGAAGCAAATTAGAGCTTTTAAACATACTGAAAAGCAACAAAAAACACAAAATTAACCATTTCTGAAAAGGATCTATGGAAATCATTATATCTGTTGACTTATATCACATTGAATCRGGTTTTAAAAGTTATAAAATACTGAGAAAAAGGGAGCATTTCCTTGTAAATCAAATAAACGCTTAAGTAATTTTTAATGTTAGACAAGTGAGGAAAACAAATTAGTTCATTCTGTTAACATAATAAAGCACTAAAATGCCAGTGACATCGTCAAAAAAACCATTTGATAACGACACAATTGTTATTTATCTAGCCTGAGGAGGCACTGCTTGAAGAGTTTGTGTACACTCAAAACACAGATGTGTTGGATTTACTTAAATTATATCAGCTGGTTCCACTCAACTGAGTTGAGTAAATGTAATGCATTTA